AGCTGTAACAAACAGTTGAGAATTACAAATACACCTACAACTTCCTACCACAGGCTTGTAATATTGAACCTGCCTCTAATTACTTACATTATAGGCAAAAAGTAGGTTTAGTTTGTATGTGCGTTTGGTTGGCAATTTAACTTTTAGCTGGAATGAACCTTTTTATGTCTGAATCAACATAGCTATTTTATTAAATGTCATATATATTTTCGTTTTGAAGGATTAATGTATCGTTGCAAATTACTCCAGACCCGTTATATTACGCCTATACTAAGTTAATGTGGTAACGAAGATTTATAACTATGAATAAAATAGCTGAATTTATAACATGCGAATTTTTGGCGAACATACTGATATGTAAATGGAGTTAGAATGCTGTTACCTGTTCCCGAAAAATATTTTGAAAAGTGACATCCAACCACGTGTTTGCAATATCAGTAGTCCATTGGTGTCCTTAACCATAGAATTTTTAGTTGGCTCAATAATGTATCGGCATCCTACGTGTTGCCTTTTTACTTTCAATGTGGTAGTGCTTTCAAAGGCCAGCGGATATATTTCTTTTTCTTTCTTTTTTTAAGAACGTCAATATACCCGTTGCGTCTGGTGATTACATGATCACCACGTTACTGTGCAATTGACACCAAGCCGCCGAACTCTTGAAAGAGGATCAAGAAAAAAGACTACCATCCTCATAAGCATCGTCTTCGCCACATCGTCTCTGTGCTGTTTCGACGTCTCGAAACGACGACCGCTACCTCCACAGCGTTTCATTATTGTTGTCTTCCTCTGTTTTGGTTAATCGAGTGAGGTTAGCGACAGCCCTGGATGAACATGAAGGTGTTAGACAGAAATAATGGCGAACTCGGCTTTGAGCTTTATGGCCTGGCGAGAATGATCAGGCTCACACTAAGATTTCCGTTCTCTTCGAATCCGCCACCCAGGCACGCAACCTTCGCCTCACGATAAATGTGGTCCAGGAAAGAAGTACCACATAAACCCACCTAATGTTTGGGTACGCGAATAAGCCTAATCTTTGGGTTATCTTCCACGGTGCAACTTGCGATATAGACTATCTATCCTACAATGTCTGTAAGCCCAAAACAGAGTAGTCGTCATGTAATTACCGATCGTACTACGTTAAATTAAAACTGGGCCAACACAAGTCGGCCGCTAAATGGGCCAGATAACTAAAGTAAATTCGAGGAATCGGCATCATTTGCGAGGTATATCATAACAGATGAGATTTATAAAAAAGTTATAAGACGCGACCAATTATGACTACGCAGCAAATCAAAGCAGCGCGTTATTACTACGACAACGCTCGTCACTGCTTGTCCACGAAGGGAACACGACGAAGGGAACCTTAATTATGGACACACTGCACCTATGGGGTAACTCTTCCTTGAAAAATCTATGATGACACGCCGATTTTGATAAGTATTTCTGTGAACTTTCCTGGTTTCCTGGCTCACGATTACTAATCTTAAATAGCATATGAGTCAATCTCAAATAGATTTTTTCCAAAATAATAATAATTAATAAATAAATAGAATAATTTCGAAAATCAATTGTCTACCAAGGGCATACTAGCCTGAGTGCGAATAAAAATATAGATCGAAGCTTCGTTTTATACTGTACAAATACTTATATGGACTTATACTATATAAATTCAAAATACAACCTCATTTAACGCATAAAGAGATGGAGAACTATACAAATTTTTTGACAACCAAAGTAATATAAATAAAATTATAATTCTTACAAACAATCCAATTACTCCTTCTAATTTATTAGGAATTGACCGCAAAATAGTATAAGTAGATAAAAAATACCACTCTGATTGAATGTGAACTAATGAATCAGCAGGAATAAAATTTTCTGGGTCCATAAATATATAAAATTTAATTAAAACTACATGTATAAATATTATAATTAAGATTATTATTCCTAACACATGCAAAATGATAATAATTTCAATATCAAAAAAACTAAAAAATTTAATCTAAAGGACATTCAAAAGATCTAGGTTTTTCATACATACATTCTTTTTTAAAACTAATCATCAAAGATAAAATTAATATTAATATAGAAATAAATAAAATTATAATAATAAAAAAATTATATTAATTTAATTGGAAATTAATGACGCTTGCGCTATTTTATAAAATGCTGCTCTCAACTAGGCGCCTTTCATCGTCGGTTGGTCACGTTGTTTAAGGATGCGTTATGCTTACTTAAATCATAATACATTTACGGCTTTACTTAAAGCCTGATTCTATTAAAAATATATAATTAACAGTAAACACATTAACCAATAGTTTCTATGTTTTACAACTAATCTATGTGCCGATATTTTCATAATTAGCGCAATAGCGTAAATAGAGGTAAAAACAAAAGACAATGTTTAGTAAGTATATTTAATAGACACTGCGAAATGTTATTACGCAATGTTTATGATGTCACAAATAGCCGGTCTTTGCGGCGATGAAGCGTAGGTCGTGATTACCAAAGCGTTAGCTCGATTCTAGGCCGAAATTTACCTCTTGTAACACGCGAAACACTGCTAGTTTCAGAAGCAGCTATTCAAATACGTGAAATACGTTTACCTTCTTCGAAATCGAGCTCTACGTTAGAAGGGTCATACTATGTTATCTTAACGACGCTGATATGATTTCAGAGTCATACCGGAGTTACTTCTGGACCGTGATGGCCGCAAAATTGATTCTCTACTTAAAAATTTCTGGCCGTCTAAACCTCAACAAGGGTGAATCATGAGGGCCTAATTAATAAAGATAATTGAAACATGCCAAGAGTGTATGCTTCAATAGAACATTGATTATTGTACTTAATTTATTGTTCGTGTCTCAACAAAGGCCGGAATTGCTGAGCACTAGTACCGTCGCGGTTGGAAAACTGTAGAAATAAACTATGAATATATTGTTAATAAACATGACCATGGCATGCTCCTTTAGAACAGGAAAAGCTGTTATTAAGAGTTCATAAAGAAATTGTCTTTAGCTGGAAATCAAAGCTGCGATTTCGGTAGCAGATTCAATCACGCGCTCCAAACTACATTTTGTCATCAAACCGAAAGGATTGTTCGTATTTTCCTCACCTACATCGCGTTTTCGTTCATTTATGCTTCGGTGAGCCCTGTCCTGAAGATCGCCTGTTGCTTCCGAGGAACTATAAGCATAAAAGAGTTTCAAGTGATATAATAACTGAAAAAATCATTAAAAGCTTATTTTTAAACCCATATACTGTAGATAAAATAACGATTACTATTATTGTTATATAAAAATGAACTATTGACTCGTTTGTGCATGCTAAAAACGTCGAGGAAAATATCCGATAGCCTGCTCTGTACGTTGTCGGTGTTTCTTACTTTACCTTTGTGCCTTAACAAAAGTGACGCGCACAGATGTGCGAACCGTCGCCTCTGACCGTCCCCGGGGCCTCCGCCACCTTTACGGCATCCGCGGGTGCTCTGCTATGTTTTTGCTGACGTTTCATATATACATCGGTATATGTGAATTCATATGTGCATCTTCCTAGCTGTTTCGCTTTCTGTAAGTAATCAGCTAGCCTTTTCCCTTTCATACACAACTCATCTTCTTACTTGATCTTGCTTCAACGAGAATGCGAAAAAAATCGAGACCCAATACCTAACCGACCCTTTATTATATCACGCTATATACGTTTGGCGCCTACGCTACTTTGTTCTTCAATATTGACGTTCGACGACGTTCGTTCTCGACAAATTTCATTTATAGCTTCCTTGCTTAAAGTTTGCCGGGAGGTGCTTACGGAGGAGGTTCGATCACCCCAGCAAGCGTGCGCTAAAACCGAATCGTAGATGCAGCCCAACAATTTTCTACTGGACCGATGCACTATTGCTTACTGTAGGCGCAGAAGTGGCGATGGTACTATGGGCGCACGACAGTGCGTTTACCTGCTTCCATGAATACTGAAGCGTGCCAAACAACATCAACAAGGGGCGCCTGTAGATGCTATTTAGTGAGCACTGACTGCCATTCTGGCCTTGGTACTTGGGCATTGTCGGTGGCGCTGTCCTCTTCGAAATGTCTTTACGATGTAACTTTACATTCGTCAAATGATAGTCATTGTTGCTACCTGTGGGCGCGTCTATTTGTGAATGTATTGACTCTTGGTTAGTGTCCGATAAACCATGTAGTACAATGTCAGAGTAAGAAGGAACGTTGATTCAACAAAAAGTACTTGCCCGAATTTTGATACCGAAGGCGTTTCTGTTGTGCTTGTTTGTGAATCAAGCTGTGAAAGAACAATGTATTATTGTATGGTGTTGGCCAATCTTAGAAATCAATGAATGCCATTAAGCTTGCTATGAAAAACTAATATCAATAATAAAACATTCAGTGGTTAAGAACTCATCTCACTATTGCTTCTTGGACGTATCCACGCCGAAGACACTCTATTGTCAAGTAAATCTCCATAAAACATTAAAAGAAGCTTAAAAAGCTAAAAAAATTAGCCTACACATAGTCCTACTCTATACGAAAATACTACATAAAGACGTAAAAATAGTTTATACAAAAATTTAGTTATGTCACAGCTCACAGTAAGTATTCGGCAGCCTCTACGGTAGTGAACATTTTGCGCAACATAGTATGGGATAGTACCTAAATATAGCCGTATTGCTATAAAAAGAATGACTATGTATTGAGTTTAATAGCAAATCGTTAACTGATAACGAACTGGTAAAACAGAATGTAGAAAATGTGCAACAACGTTAGTGGTTCCACCCGTTACCTCATGGCAAATGAGCAGAACAGTTATTGGGTCGTAGGTCTCATACAATCGTCCTACAGGCAGTGACTCTTTCCTACTCTTTCCCAAGTCGACCATCACCACTTGAGAAAGGATGCTTCTGACTTGAGTCGCTCGTACTGATTCAACCATCAGTGTGAAGCAAATTCAGCCCAATGCGCTTGTAGAGGGACACACGATCAAATGCTGGGAATAGTAATACTGAAATCAACAAACCGTTCTTTTTTCGGTATCGAGGTTGTTCGACAGATGATTAGAAGAACTGAATTATTTTAAATCTAGTGCGTTGTGTGCTTTAGAAGCTCTATATGGAATATACGACTGACTATGATTGATTTTTCTCTGACTATCTCTAGGGGAATAATACGTTGCCGGTGTGGGTGCCGCCGAACGGATAATGATGTAACCATGAACTGATTGATGTAACAAAGCTGACTGATCGAAACTGATTGGGGCAACGAGTGTGGGGTGAATCCCAGTGAGAACCATGTTCACCGCTCGGCTCAGCGGCCACAGTATCATGGCCATTTGTGTTGTAATGTTTTCCATGGTGCCCAAATGCTCGATGAGTATTCGTTATATGCAACCGGAAAATTGCACATGGGAACCGCTATCGGATACAGCTGGTGTATCCATGATATGCAAAGTACGCACCCTACAGAATGGAGCCACTGTGACAAATTTCTCGCTAATTACTCCAGGCCAAACGGTACACCTAACTATCTACTGTGAGGATTTGTTATTTTTAAGTGAAATTGGTAGTAACTCACTGGAACATCTGCGGGGCCTTAAGCGGCTACGCATCGAACGTTGCAAGCTCGACAGGCTGCCCCCGAACACATTTAAGGGACTGTCCGGCCTCGAGCAGCTAACTGTGAGGTCGTATAATACGAAATGGGGTCGGTTCTCCCTCAAAGTGCCATCGTCGACGTTAGCGCCTCTAACCAGCGTTGAATCAGTTGATTTTAGTGAAAATAATATCGAAATACTGCCACCGGGGCTGTTTTGCGGACATCGTCAGCTCGAGTTTGTAAACCTGACAAATAATGGATTTTCGGAAGTTGCCAACATTGGTTTTGCTTCTGCTTCATTGTGTACGCCAACCGTTCGTACCGTGGACTTGGCATATAACAAGATCAACGTTTTACCCGAACTCGGTTTTAGCACACTCGGTGTTTTACAAGAGCTGCGTTTAAGCCATAATCAGATTGTCAGGATGGAGCCTTTCGCACTTGCAGGCCTTGTCAAACTTGAACGTCTCGATTTAGCTCATAATATATTACTTGCCTTACCGGCCGCACTGTTTCAGTCTACACCGAAGCTGTCTGAGTTGTATTTGCGTAACAATTCATTAAGTGCACTGCCACCTGGTTTGTTCAGTGGACTGAACAAATTAACTGTCCTTGATCTAGGACACAACCAACTTTCAGCACTCGAATGGCTAGGAGCTCTTGATAACAGAATAACGGAAAGCCATCTTCCAGAGCTTAGTGTAGTCGACTTAAGCTTTAACCGGCTCACGCGGTTATATCCGAACGCGTTTCATAGCCTAATCAGCTTGCAAGTGCTTCAGCTGCAAAACAACCTCATCGAATCTATTGCTGATAACACATTTGCCCCCCTTGACAATCTTCAAACGTTAACACTGAGCAACAATCGGCTTAAAAGCATCGGTCGTCATACAATGGCTGGACTTTCCGTCGTGATGACACTTCAGCTTGACAACAACTGGCTTGAGGCCATTCATGCTGATGCTTTTAAGAATGTTTCAATGCTACAGGAGCTTAATCTCGCTGGGAACATGTTAACGACCGTTCCGCGTGCTGTTGCGTCTCTTCACAAGTTACGCTCCCTCGATTTGTCTGATAACGACATTGGGAATGTAGGCAACGCTTCGTATGAAGGACTGAATCAGCTACATGCACTCAATCTGATGGGCAACAAAATCGGAAATATTACCTTGGGCACATTCGATAATCTTCCCTCGGTACGTGTTCTTAATCTAGCCCGAAATGATATACAATCAATCGAGCACGAAGCCTTTGATGATATGCCAGGACTTCATTATCTACGACTTGATTCGAATCTTATCGAAGACATTAATGGTCTATTCAGTAATCTACAGGATCTCATTATGCTCAACGTGTCAGTGAATCGTATACGCTGGTTTGATTACGCTATCATTCCCATAGGTTTACAGTGGCTTGATATTCACGATAACATGATAGAAGTATTGGGGAACTTTTTTGAACTTGAACAAAACCTCAAACTTCGAACGTTAGACGCCTCCTTTAACAAACTGACGGAGCTCGATTCATCGTCATTGCCAAATGGCATCGAAATCGTTTTTCTAAGAAACAACAACCTCAAACGAATACAGCCATTTACATTTCTGGGCAAGCAAAACTTAACACGAGTCGATTTAACTAATAACCATTTAGAAATACTTGAAATAACGACATTTCGACTTAGCGAAGTGCCATCGCGTCGGCCCCTGCCGGAGTTCGCCATCACAAACAACCCGTACTTGTGTGATTGCCACATGGAATGGTTACAGCATCTGCAGAATCTCGATGAAATGAGTAGCGAGGATTCACGCCATTATCCGCGGATCATTGATCTGTACGACGTCCAATGTAGGCTCAGCTTCACAAAAATGGACGCTTCACAAACCTTGCCAGTACTGAAAGTAAAACCATCCCAGTTCCTCTGCGAATATAAGAGTCATTGTTTTTCGCTTTGTCACTGCTGTGACTTTGATGCATGCGATTGTGAAATGGTCTGTTCTAACAACTGCATCTGCCTTCATGACCAATCGTGGAGCACCAACATTGTCGAGTGCAGCGGGCGTAATCACAGCGACAGCCCTAAGCTGCTTCCAATGGATGTGAGTGAAGTGTACTTGGATGGTAACAATATTCCTTTTCTAACGCCGCATTCGTTCATTGGCCGTAAAAGCATGGAGGTGCTAGTTTTGAACAATTCGAATATCGTTACTATCCAAAATAGCACCTTCTCTGGCCTACCACGGTTACGGGTTCTGCGGCTTGATTATAACAAGATAGCTACATTACATGGACGTGAGTTCGACGGACTTTCAAGCCTTAGGGAGCTATACTTGTCCAATAACAAACTGAAACATCTAAGCAACATCACATTTTTTCACCTTCGGAGCCTGCAAGTTCTTCATCTCAACCAAAATTTACTTGTCGAAATTTCAGTATGGGCCTTTCAACACAATCCAGCGCTGACTGACTTGCGCCTAGCTGGCAACCCGTGGTCCTGTAATTGTTATTTTATGCAAGACCTTGCAAAGTTCATTCAAGAGAGCGGTAATGGCGTGCAAGATATATCGCAAATATCCTGCTTATTCAATGAAACAACGGTTCTTCCTCTATGGGAACTTAACATGACCGAATGCCACAGCCCTTCGCAGGCGACTTCTCTGGTTCGACATTTCCACTTACGACGCATCGATAATATCCTACCAATGATCATCGTATTAGGCGCACTCTTGGTGCTTTTCGGTGCTTTACTGATCGCTGTGGTGATGTACCGACACAAGATGAGCGTCTGGTTCTTCAGTCATTATGGAGTGCGAATTTTTCAACGAGCGCACCACATTCAAGAAGAGAAACTGTTTGACGCATTCGTATCATATAGCAAAAAAGACGAAGCGTTCGTAGCGCAAGTACTTGCTCCGGAGTTAGAGTGTGGAACTCCTGCATACCGCCTCTGTCTGCATTATCGGGACCTATCAATGGTTGGCGGCTATCTGAGTGAAGCGGTTCAGGAAGCTGTCGAATGCTCACGTCGAACGATCGTTATCCTATCAGAAAATTTCCTTAAGAGCGAATGGTGCCGCTATGAGTTCAAATCGGCCCATAGCGAAGTGCTGAATAGTAACCACAAACTTGTCGTCATCTTTGTTGGCCGGGTGTCCTTCCGTGAGCTCGATCCTGATATTCGAAGGTGGATCAAACATAGCACTTTTTTGCATTGGGGCGAGAAGAATTTTTGGGACAAGTTGCGTTACGCGATGCCGGCGGAGGCAAGGCATCGAAAGCCGACCGGGACAATGCGTTCAGATGTAGCCTCCGTCGCCGTACACATTTGACACGGAGAGCGGGCGCTGCAAACGACGTCACGGCACGCGACCCCTCAAAGAACTTTGCTGCCCCTCTTGCACGTGCCTGCATCTTCTTCCCACATCGATCTCAGTAGTGCAGCCAGCGACTCATGGCACAAACCAGCGGTCAGTGCGACTCACCTGGCCCAGAGGTCCTACTACCACCGAGGCACACTTCCTCACTGTGTGCAGACCATGACAACAACAACAACAACTCTGCCCGTAGTTTCGACACTCGCACGAAATGAACCCTTGTTACAACGCGCGCGTCTCTGTGATAACAACGACATCAACCTATACAATGATATTCATGAGACCACGGCAACTGAAGCTGTTTATGAGAGTTTAAAAGATATAGGAGAAACTAGGTAAATCAAATGCAACGGAACGATAGAACAGTCAGCGAAAGAAAACACGTAAGCGGAAGGAAGAGAGAGAGCTCGTACCTGGTGCGTAAGAATCAATGCGGTCAGACATGTGATGTAAGCATGGGACGCAGCGACTCGACCCATCCGACCATAACACCGTTTAAATCAGTGTAGACTTGAAGGACAAGATCTAGAAGGGCGCACGTCGTCTAATGGGTGTGAAGCAAACTGTCAGATAATTTATGTAAAAGTTGAGTAATATTTTTTTTAATCGTTATTCATTGAAGCCAGACGAAAATATAGAAAAATCGATTGTACATATGCACTGTAAATACACCTGTTGCGAGAAAACCTCGTCGAAAGTGAGCACAAATGCTATTCAAGAGTGCAGACCAGACTAAGAAAATAATTTATTAAGGTAAAGGTTGGCAGACCGGGCTGTTGTCATAACCGAAACGACGTCCCACTGCTGTGACTCTTCATTGTGATAACTTAAGCTCTTCACTTAACAGAACATTTTCGTTTTCTATCTGCGAATATGTGTTCAACAAGAAATTTCAGCAGATGCGCCGGAAGACCCTTTCTTGCATCTGAATCGGCTTAAAATAGTTCTTCTGTTTTAAAACAAAGTATTCTGCGACAAAATAAAACAGTCTAAGTCGGCAGACTATTAACACTCTTCAATAAAAAAAACGGCTCATCCATTCCAAGCTTTTATTCCTTTTGATCTCCTTAGCAACACCGTGTTTCCTATCGAATTTACCAGCAAACAAAACAAACCTATATATATATATATATATATATATATACGGAACTCTGAAACGAATATTGCTTTCCGAAAAAAATTACATAAAAATTAAGATATCTTTGCATGTTCAGTGGACATTCTTATTATAAGTGAAACATTTATTTTTACAAAATTTTGGTTATATATAAATGCGTCGGATTTTTTAGGTTGGTTCCATACCCGCATGTAAAAAAATGTGCACATATCTGACAGTACTCAAATTTAACTTCAAACGTTTTACCCAATACGAATAATTGTTTTGTGCCTTTTTTTAAATCCACCAATATCAGAGATGTTCTTTTTAAAAATGTTTCATATTATTATTATATTGCGCTATTTGAATTAATAAAGATACTACTAGCAGAATCTCGATACTTCGTCTCGCGTATAAAAAACACTGCCCAGTTTCCAAGGTGAACTTTTTTCACAAACAGTTATTAAAAACGTCAAAATAATTATGCACACACATACGTAGAGGGGATCACGCACAATAAAACTGCGCCCCTTAATAACAACGATCATAACCATAAACTCATAAGAAATATGGATGTAAATAATGTACGAGTGAGCCGGGCCAGTGATGATACAACTGCGAATGCAGGTAAAAGCTGCGGGCAGCAATTGCGGAGTAAAAGAAAGAAAGATTGAAAAGCCTTTCGATGTGTTCTCATTGACAAAAGAAAAATAAAATAGGAATGCTATGGAAAAAATGATCTGGCAAAAAACTTCCGACAATAACGTGTCATTATTCCTAGGTACCTAATGAGTTGTATAGAATAATATAATTTCAAACACTATTTATTTATGTATGTTGAATTTGGTTTCTATCACTTCTCACACCAATTCATCTAAAGCTATATATAAGAAAAATAAAAAATTCTCTGGTAAACGAGTCCTACACTCGGCAGTGGTAAAGATACATATCCATTCTTGGATTGTACCGCCTTTTTTTTTTTTACCGATTTTTGAGACTCTTGTCTCGAAAATGCAAAATAAAAACTTTAGAGCTTTCGGACGGATCAGTATTTCCATAAGAATACGTTCCACATATCTTTTACTTGACGAACTCGCTAAGAGATGACCAAATAGTGCGTTCTCATGAACTACTTACTATCAATGTGCATAGTAAGCAGGTACATTGTCAGCTGAGGTTTGCTCAACATCTTCCAATTCGAACGATAGTTGAATAAACCCGTTTGTCTTAGATATAACGATTCTCTGTACCTAAAGCATATTTCTTAAAATGCTAACATTATTATATCCCTATTCGATTCTATTCAAGACCCACCTAATCAACATGGCAAATAAAATTTACCAGCAAATGTCTTTAGTGAAGTAAGTCATCGCACTACGTTTAGTCAGACTATTTGATACAGAACTGATCTGAAAGCCATCTCTGGACAAGTTTCTGATCTCGATAAATTAGAACACACATTTTGCCAAGCACGAGCTTTACATTAAATATGTACATCAGGACGTCACCAGCTAGCGTTGGGTCTCGAGGGCATAAAGAGGAGAGGTCAAGCAAAGTTAGCGCAATATTTCAAATGTTTAAGCTGTCCCATAATCTTCGCATTATCATATCTGTCAACCGGTATCATACTAGTATAATAGTGCCCATGTTGCTCGAGGACATCAGAAAAAATCAGATACGGGCTCGGAACATCGGCCGAGCTTTTGTACTGATCATCATCGTTTCGTTTGTTTTTTATTCATGGAAATTGCGACGAATCAATGTGCGTCTTCCTACTGTATGAGAATACAGGTGCATTCAGTCGAATATGCGTATGCACAGGCAGGATATATATATATATATACGTTATGGGTATACCCAACCAGTGAGGGATGAGCGTGCACATGCATTTCATACTAGTTACAAAGATGAAAAAGAGGTGGATGGCCAAGAGAAGAATATCGCTGCAGTTCGATGATCTGTGGCCGGCTATTGTTTACCATAGCCGACCATCGAACCCGTAAACCTCTGCATAGAACGCTGTCCATCCGTCTGTTTGTCTAATAGAGGGGACTGCATATCAACAGAAAATGACAATGATCATACCGCTGAGTCGAGAAAAAAACTTGTATGATACGGCTACGTAGTTTGTCTAACACTATCCCAATGGCGGTGCAAGTACCGGTTGACTCGCATTAGTCATGTATGCTACGGGTATGGAAGAGCACATATTACCGTTTACGATGTTGTCGCGATAAGTACGGTTTAAATACTATTCATGAATATATTATGGATCAAACCTCACCTAATCTAAGCTCCCTCTTGCACTTATTTTGCCACTGTGCCTCAGCCCTCCAGTAATCTTTCAATACAGGCCTATTAGTTGTTGCTGTTTGTATAGACTTAGGAACAGATATTCAAAAACGCAGATGAGTCAGTGGCCAGTTACTGATATAATTCAACTTAACGAACGCAATGGATAGAAAGTGGGGAAGGAGGAGAGTGTAGCGATTTACACGGTGACTGTTTCGTCCCGTAAGCGTCCCCACCTTCTACCCACACTAGATAGTAGCGTCTGTTGTTAGTGAAAAATTCGCCCGTTGATTCATTTGAGCAATTGCGATAACGAACAGAGCATCTACGTTCGTCTCTGTCTACGCCACATGTGATCCAACACACAGATTCTAAAATATTAATGGAGTGTAAACGACGTAAGTGTCACATCCAGAACTCTTTGCACTCATCGACATTTCGCATTCTCCTTCAGTAGCAACGTAACGATGGATTTCTTTCAAACGATGCAGAGCGACACGGACGTCTGCTTAGCAGTAACTAGGAACAAAGAAATGCACAAGAGGTATGTTTAAAGCATATGTTGGAAACGCAGATTTGCCAGACAGCTCACGCAGTCAACTATAGGTAGCCAGACCTAGGCTCCCTAGTCATTCCGCCTTGACCCCTATTACTAAAGGCACCGCATGGGATCTAGGCATACCTACGAAATAAGCCTTCATTAAGTTGTGACTGTGAAGGCCTACCAATAAAAGTATGTTAAAATTAAGAACAGTGGGAGGTTGAACTACAAGTTTGACAGTAGCAAGCTTTCCTCGCTTGGTTTTTCTAAAACCTGTAAGTCATATAGGGCTACCTGTCCTACACGTCCTAAAGTTTTTCGCCTTGGGAAGCGTAAGTCAGCCATATCAGCGTGGCAAAAAATTGGACAATTGTTGTTTATTCGGCAACGACATACCTTTCTGTGCCAACAAACAGCACTCGACGCAGTCTCGAAAAGGTTTGCCCTGTTGGATTGTTTGCGGTAACTCAGTTTGCTTCTTATATGAAACGAAAGCGTTAACGTAACTATATTCGTTCACTTGATAGGAATGTCTCAACAGTTTTCGGTTTCATTCTTATCTGATATATGGGGTCATAGTGTAGCTTTTTGCATTTCCAGTAAAGACCACTGCTATAGTATACAGTAATATATTGATTATATAATTTGACTTGGAAGAATTAATTGTTTCAATGGTAACTCTAAAGTTTAGATGTAGGAGAAGGGCCTTTCCTAAAACAGTAAGAAACGTATGTAACTGAGCAGATACGTTGCAGTCATTATTATTAAAAATGGCTATACAATTATATCGACCGGTAGGCCTCCCAAACAGAAAGATGTACACGTTATATAGCACATTACAATACAAGTTAATACTCTATTATTGCTTAGAGCCACCGATTACATCAGTCCATTAGTCGATGAAATGGTTTGCGGAGCTAGTCACGTCTTTGTGGGATTTAATATGATCTGCTAGTGGTAGTTAGGATGCAAACAGGCACACACTTTACATCATTCTGTCATTGTATTGCTCTATCTATCCAATTCTCGTTTAACTCGCGCCTCGTTAAAAGGCTGATCGTTTCTATTGTATAATACTATCACAAATATGCTCTTTATCATATCTATTGCACAACAACACGAAGCCCTGTCGAAACGCAATCTTCAGCTTTACCACATGTTTTGACCACCGATTACGATTTTATATACTCTACTGGGCTGTTACAAGCGAATCTAACGGACTTAGAAATTGAATAGCATTTACGACGTGCCGTTAGCAGACGAAATTTGGCAGGTAAATACTGCTTCGAATTTCCAGAGAACTGTAAACGAAAATCGGGTGAGCTTCCTTTAGAAGACACGCGTGTAGAACAAAACATCGTTGTCTTGAAAATCAATGTTTAGTGGACAGGTGTTTGTCCTTTGAAGGCCATAACGTTTTCGAAATCAACCAAAGATCAGGGGAAACATCGGCGAGGCAAGGAAACCTTAAGCGAAAGAACAGTAAGTGGTGCAAGCCTTTAGGAACGAAGATTGATTTGTTTAATATTAGCGAGGACTTGATCATATGTTAAGACTCGAATGACACGAATGCATCGCCGCAGTTGCGAAGACGTTTTACTAGAACAGAGCTTGGGCTCTAAGAGCCCTGTGGGCCAAGAATCTTTTTTTTTTTACGTGTAACGTGTTGCACAATTCTAACCCAAAATGCCGAAACTGAGTTAAAAATGGGTTCCCTGTAAACTGACTTCAAATTTACTTCAAAATGCGCGTGATGTATTTCACGTACAATCCAAAGAGCTTTAATTAACAAAAAACCTTTTCGGAGCATACGGCCGTGATAGCTTAGTTGGTAACGTATTTGCCTGCTAATTTTAAGGACACACTATGACCTAGGTTCGGCATAGACAGGCTTCGTTTCGTGCTGGAAGCCAGCTGCCTTATGGAATCCCAAACAGCGACATTGGACCTAGAAGCCGAAACCTAGAAAAAAAAACGCATGGTTCAATCACTTCCTTCAGCCGGAGAGTTCCCAAATAAGAAAACGGCGTCGTCCTGAAGAGAGCTCAAGAGACTCACGGACTGTTGGCTCAGTAAGCAAGACCTTGCAGTCCGTTTACTTGATGACAACAGCAAACTTCATCGCCATATCTTGAGCAAAGTAATATTTAGCGTTGGCTTTAAGCCGATTGTTGTGCGAATCTAAATCCCTGTGATTATTTCTTGTGAAAAATTTCATGCCCTAAAAAAGGCAAACGTACTCAAGCATATCATACTATCGGTTTACTTCACGACAGACAGATCGAGAAATAACATATGGAAACGCGAAAGGCCGTTTAAGAATTTCCAGAGAACTGGGACAAGTAAGTCAAAATAAGAGATCATTCTTCCTCAAAAGTTGTTCAATTTCAAGTTCCGCCAGATTTGCTCATATCAACCAAATATAACACGAAATATAACATGGAAAACATGTTCTATTGAGGGGCCTTTTTAAGTACTAGAGCTAACACAACTCTTAAAAATAGAAAACAATAATCATAATTTGTAATCGGCACCATTACTCGGTTACCTTCAGATTAAGCTAGCAAGCAGCCTTTTATGGGGCTGGAAAAAATAAGACGAACAAGGAGAAAACGGGAAAATTCGTTTAACTTGCTTCTTAAAAGTCTAAGTTCACACTGTCATATATCTATCTATGTCAGTTTTTCCCATCATTCTTCCCGTATTTCCTCGTTTAAATATCTTCTGCCACCATGAAACAAACTTTGGCGCAGACCCGTGAAAACCTGTAAGATATGATTACTGTTATTGGTCTGTGGTTGTTGGGTCTGATAGTAGCGCTCTTGTGGCCTTAACACGATTGCTCTTGGCGATGATCATCAGACCAGAACGTATGGTCTGGCAAATACGAGCAGGTAAACACGGCC